GTGATGTTGTAATTTTGCTAACAGTATTAATCAGTAATCAAAATATTTATACATTCTGTGCTGACCAAATGTCCTCCTCTGTTGATGATTTTTGTTTCAGCAATACTTAATTACACTTACTATAAATTGCAGTGAAAAGGATTTTTTGAATGTTCATCACGTGCTTTAAACAATGTAAGCACATTTTTGCAGTTATCTATTTATAACTCAGAAATGTAAAATCAGTTTCACACTTAAGCTAAGGAACCAAACCAAAATGTGAGTTATTGAGTAACAAAATTGTTTCATTGAAAAAAAATGTTATGCATATGTACACACACAACATGTAAACTAAACCACTTACTGAGGACTGTATATAACACATTTTATACCTCCATTTTTCAAATGTAGCATATACTATAGTTCTATCTGAGAAATTTTATTATAATTGACTGCCTTTCATATATATTTTTTCTTTGGTTTTACTGAGTTTTAAGCCTATTTGGAGCTTTTCTGAAAGTAGTATAGCAAAGTGAAATATGTAGTTTTCTAATATTTTTTCCTCTTGCTTGTATTTTAGGCTATCTTCATGTTCTAACCTTGTTGTTGGTTAATAAGTTTAGAGCACTTACAGCATTGTTTCTTTATAATAAAAATATTCTAGAGTTGCATTCTTTCAGCAATAATTGATATGACTTCCTAAAGAGGTTAATATAGTCTGGAAAAGATTTTTGAAGACTAGGGGAAAACAAAAATTGAACAGATATAAAAGTCTCCCTTAGGTAAAGGCCTACAGAAATGGCCCTATGAAGTCTTTAAGTGGCAGCATCAATTGCCAGATTAAAAAAATAAAAAATATATACCTATATGTGCATACACTGAAAAAAATTAACATTAGTATAGCATTTACTTTCAGAAATAGAAATTATCTTCAATCATCTATTTTTCAAATAATTTTCACAGCAATTCTCTCACAATTCTAGGTCATTGGCATAGTTAGAAGAAAACTTACTTATGAAATTGTTTACACAGACCTTTCGTAGAGTACATTTTTCTCTCTAATGGTGATGTTGGTTTCCCAACATCTTTTAATACATAAGGAATTTTTAGAAATTATTTGTTTTGATTTAACAGTGTTTTTCTGCAGATATTTTCTGGGATCATGTCCTTCGGTACTGATAATGTAATTGTACCCATGATGTCCCCACAGATTTTCATTAATTTAGTTTAGTTTTCTATTTGGTATGTAAATTGTTACAGCCTTGCATTGACATCTTCTGGGGAATTTTGTGATGGCAGAAAGCCCCATAGATGTGAATCATAAAGATGCAAACTTATTTCTTAATACTTGTACAATATCTTAGTTTACTTAAAAACAGTATTAAACATATTTCTGATGAATAAATAAAGCGTAACTTTCCTTAGATAAGATTAACACAAACTTTTATTGACCTTTGTGGTTCACAGAGAAACAATCTTTGTGGTCAAATCATATTTTGAGATCTCATCAGTGTCCTAATTTTTCAAAAGAAAACTGAAATTTCAATTTCATAAGTTAACCCTAAATCTTCCAATTAATTTTAGAAGTACATCTTTATGTTTTTAAATTTTTGTGTTTTAAAATTATTCATGGATTGAAATGGATATATTTAGTATGTTTTGATTTGTCATTCATAAAACAATTAAAATGAATAAATTTTCTGTAGAATATAATCAACTAAGACATTTTTATCATCACTACATATTAGTTTAAGAACTTTCTATTAAAGCTATAACTAGAAGACCATCTAATGGATGTGGTGTTACAGTACTGACTCCCTATTAGCGGGCATATGTTTTTTGTGAAACAAGGCACAAAAGGCTGTATTTTGTGAATTATAAGAGACAATTAAACTGATGGGACATATTTTAATAACATTTCAATCTAGGTCTATCTATACTGCTACTTTCATGAAACAACTAAAGACAGTATCTTCTTGAAAGAATTGCATGTATTTCTGTAAAGTGCTTTTTATAATTTCTTTTAAAATATTGATTATGTTGAAATAAAAAAACAAATCACTGAAAAATTTAATTCTAAACAACAGAAATAATATAACATTGTATAAAGACTTTTAGAAAATTAAATGATTTCATGCCCTACTTATACCATTACCTAAAGTCCTTTAATCTAATGTAAAAACGCTATGCTATGAGAAACTGTCATAAAGAGAAACACATCTATTTTCAGGAAAACACAAGGTTATTACTTTTTTGTGACAAAGCTTTTCTACTTCTCATGGTCAAGGTGTGAATTAGTTGTTTTTTCAATATCTTCTGCCAATAGGAGGGTCTGTGATAGTTTATTGGCATAGTCACTAGTATTATTTCACCTGCCCTTGGTGTTAATTAGGGGATGTTTCTCTCTCTGAGTCAGCCACTTGTTTGCTTTGAAGTTAAAATGAAACTTCCTTCCAGAGTAGCTTTATAAACATTATTGGATACTTGAATTACACCATTGTAAAACTAATACAGTATCTCATAATCACGTTAACTAAATTACAAAAATATATAGCTATATCTTTGATAAAATAGTGGTTGCATTTAGGTAATCATACATTTTTTAATGTAAACAAAGAAAAATAACTGCATTATTACAAAATAAATACAATTTCTTAAAAATTGACAATAAGTAAATATATTACTATAGTTTCCCTTGGTATTTAAGTTTATAAAATAAAAGCATCTGTATCCCTTGGTTACTAAACATATAAGATAGCTTAACATATAATTTGAAGAACAAAAGGAATGTGCAAAGATATGTTTCTGTAAGACTTTCAAATGAATTAGAAAACAACAAGAAAATAAAAGATTATTATATGGCAAGAATTGTATGTCCCTCATCCTACTGTAGTTAAAAGAGTGAAGGAACATTTTATTTCTGCTTAACAGAAATAATACTAAAAAGATAGCTTATTCTTAATTGTTGATTAGTCTTTCAATTCTAAATTATTGTTACTTGATTTGTTTCCTGTAAAAAAGTAGAATTTCTGTAGAGAGTTTTCCTCTGTTCCATTATTTGTTTATTATTTTATTATGTATTATTTTAACCAATCATTTCCCGTATCTGGTCACTTCAACATCAAGTCAGAATTTTGTGTGCAGATCCATCTTCTAGGGGGAAAAAAGCTGTCAAAATGTGTAACAAGAAAGAAGCAAACACATGGTGGAAGTCCATATCTGAAAAATATCTCTTTGTTATAGTAGGCAGTTAGTTTGATATTAACTAAAAGAAAGGGATCCAACAGAGCCAGACATCTGACTAAACTGGATTAACACAGAAGAGTTTAGCAGTCACCCCAGGCATCCCAGTGGGCAAGAAAGACGTGTTGCGGTCACCCCAGGGAGCAACCAGCACGGCTTGACCAGGTTAATGGGGTGGGGTGTGGAGGAGGAAACTTCTCACGGAAATGCTCACCGAATGAATGTACAGTGGAAGCCAAAATGGTGAACATAAAGGGGGAGTGTTCTAGTCTGGGAAAATATTGGATAAGATAAGGGAACGAAACCCCAGAAAATCCGGGAAAGAGATGGGATAAGGGAAGGGAACCGGCTCACCTTCAGAAAAGGCGAGCGACTTTGGGTAGGTTGAAAGACAGCTTTTTTTGTTTGTTTGTTCATTCTATTACAATTGTCCCATTGTTTTTTTCTCTGCTGATGAGGATGTGGAGAAAAGGGAACGTTAGTGCACTGCAGGTGGGGATACTGACTGATGCAGCCACTGTGGAAAACAGTATGGAATTTCCTCAAGAAATTGAAAATGGAACTGTCTTACGACCCAGTGATTCCACTGCTGGGAATATACCCTAAGAATCCTACAACACCAATTCAGAACTTATGCACCTTTATGTTCATAGCAGCATTATTTACAATAGCTCACAATAGCCAAGCGTAGAAAAGACAGCTTGCTCTCTGCCAAACCCAAGAAAATATACAGAGGTTTAGCAAGGACATCAGGATAGCCACTGCAAAAGCCTGCCTGTTCTCTGTGTCTCCCAGGACACATTATCTCTTCTCACTCTAACAGACCTTGCCACTTTTGCTTAAAATTTTCTTATGTGTGTGTCTCCAAAATCCTTTACCTGTGACACCACAGAAGAGTAGTATTTCCAGACAGTGTTAGGCAGACCCACCTCATCCCAACCCTCCTCCAGTAACATGTTGTTAATAGTAACAGCTATGCCTACATATAAATGTGTGTATGTATATGAATATATATATATATATACATATATATATATATATATAGTGACTATCTCACATTTGAATTTCCGAGTAGTTATGTTGAAGTAACTAGAATTTAATAATATTTCAAATGCATTGTTAAACAAATGGGATATTCAAGTTGAGAAAGTTTACTGTTCCTTTGAAGATAGTATAGCTTTCTATTATTTTTGAGTAACACAAAAAAAGGAGATCCAGTAAAGATAGGAGAAACTGGTGTCCTTCATTCTGGGGGAAGAGAATCCAGTGAAAGGCATCCTTCTTATTGGAGGAAGGAAATCCAGTGAAGATAATAGGCAGCAAAATAGTCACAAAAAAAGTAAACTTAAACAATTAGTGTTAAAAATATTGTCAGGAATATAGCTTCACTAAAGTGTTTTTTGCTGTCTCCCAGAATCTTTAAACTGAGTTATATAAACAGACACTACTTTTTGTGGTGAGACAGTCAACTATGCAAAATTTACTCTTATCTCCTTATCTTTGAGACCTTACCAGAATGCGGTTTATTTGGAAGGTCCCATCATATCTTTTGGTCTTTCTGACTCCATTATGAGATAAACATTATATCATGGCATTATAAAACCAAGGCCACCCCTGGTGTTCAGTTTCTTCCATCCCCTCCGATATTTGCTCCCAGAGACTCCACCACTGATAGAGCCTTCAAAAGCCCTAATTATTTCTTTTAGGGTTCAATAAATTCTGGTTGCTATAAATGCTTTAGAAAGAAGAAATTTACATTTAATACATTTCTGCTTTTATCTGCTTCTCAGCCTTTTGGCTAACATTAAGTGTAATATCTGTTCTTATCAGCTTAATATCTGACGTGTCCTCTATCTGAGGACAATATTTAAATGGATTTTTGGAGCTGGGAGATGGAATACGAGCTTGCTCTGCCCACTCCGCACATCCACCAGGTGTTGCAGTACTTCCAGGAATGGTGCACAAGAAAAAAAGAAAAAAATACATTTCTACTTTAATATGTATTGCCCCAGTGAGGGAGCCTTATACTCTTTAACTGACTTGATTTTTCACATTAAATGAACAAATGTTTTCACTTTATAATAAGTATAATAAACCTCAAAGAGTTAAAATAACTTGTCCGGATAGCGTAAAATGATAAAAACAAATACAAACCCAAGATTTTTCAGGAGATGCAAAAGTGAAAGCACTGAGCCAAATAAATCCTGATTCTCTGTGTGTGTAGAGAATAATTTGGTTACCAAAGTATTTAGAGAATTAAGTTGTTAAAATGTCGAAAGGCTACTGATAAATTCTTATCTTTAACCTGAACTACTGTTTCTGTGACAAATACTATTTAATCAGAATTTGAAAATAAAAATCTAAAATTGATACAAATTTAGGAATCCCCTTAGGATTACTAGATTCTTATTTCAGTATAAGATGAGTGACACTAAATAAGCGTTGGTTCAAATTTTATTTAAAGTTATTTATATATTATATGGTCTAATGCTTTCAGTACTTTAGAATGTAACTAGAACACATTAAAAATATTAGGAAAGTTTTGTAAAGATAATTTTAATTGCTAAGAACTTTACAATGACAAAACTTACAGAATTGAGAACGTTATTTCAGTTGTTTCTTATCCACAATTTCCAAAATCAGAGAGTTAACATTACTTATTTAACACACTGATGTCAATGGAATTACCTCCTTTTTCTACCAGATTTGTATACCTAAGGTTTACTGCTTATAAAATTAAACAAAGAACTGCAGTAGAAGCTCAAATGTAGTCTAAAACATTTTGTCTATTGAGTTAAAAAATAATTTAGAAGGGCTGAAAAGAAATACATACAAGAAAAGTAATTGTTAGAAACACATACTTTACAGTGAATAAATCAAATGAGTTCTTTTTTTCTTATTGTTAATAATTGTCTATTTTTAATATTTTACTATTTTATTAACAAGAAAAATATTTAAATGTTTAAGTATTTAAGTTTATTATCATGTGAAGAATAACAAATAATTCTTTATGGGACTAAAGTTATTTTTCTTTTCAAATGAAGGATTTAACACATGGTATAGTAATAGTGTATTAATTATGTTTAGTAAGAAAGGAAAAGTTGGCCCTCTGTTACTAAAATTGGTATATGAAAGTAGATGAACTTTTTTTCTATTTAATAGTTAATCAAAATATACTACAGCTTGTCATTTTACTTTTTCTAATAAATTTCATTTAAATCTTGTTTCTGTATATATTTTTATACTCTGGCCCTCCTTTTTGAAATTGATTTTCTCTTTATTTCTCTTCAAAGACTCTTCATTTTTCCATGCTGTGCTCATATCCTCCCTCTTCCTAGATGAATTCTTAATGTGAGCTTTACTGATTTTATTCCTTCCCAACATAAACTCCTCTCAGTTTCCAAGCAAAAAGTCTACACTTAAATCTTACTTTCCAAGTTAAGTTTCTGTTTCCTTAGGAATCTGATAATTTCTATACTCAACTGCAAAGAAAACAAACAATATTTAAAATGTCTGTTGACAGATATTAGGGAAAATGAACATCCATTGGCATGGTTGGTAAGAGAACAAATTGGTATAGCTGATAGGACAGCTCAATGAGAGAAAAGAAACTGCTACTCTATAATACATAGTCTAAATATTTAACCATTTATGTAACTTAATAATTCATAAATAAAAGATCATCTTAACTCTTATGTACCCATTCATTCACACAGTTTCATAGTTTTAGGGAAAATTACCACATATTTGGATTATGGACAAATATAAAGAAACATTACAGAGTGAATATTGTTGAAATAGGCATTACACTATGATATTATGTTGCCCTTCCCAATTTATGGAAATAACTTTCTTGAAGAGAAGAGTTAAGAACCAAATATTAATAGAATATTTAGGTATTAAGGTCAGTCTGCAGATGCAACCAGATACCATAAATGAAGGTTTTTCATTTACTTAAATGGGTACATGGTTTGGTCATTTACAATTTAGTAATAATCTTTGGGATATTTTTAACAAAGAAATGGAATGCTAGCTTAAAGATCTGTTAGCACTAGGAAGATTGGATTGGGTTCATAAGTACACTAAATTCATGAAGGCTAATTAAATGGCTCTGGCTATAATCCAGGGTAGAAATAAAAAGGATCTTAACAAAAGAATGTGAGTTGGGGATGTAAGGTACAAAATAGACACCAGTAGTTGAAGAGTATTTAGACACTGATTTGACCAAATTTAATGATTTCTTAAGATATAAGGAATAAAGGAATCTAAGCATTTTTGTACAGTATGAAACTCAAACAAAATAATTATATTTTATAGCACATAAGGATAAATAGCTCAGGTTGACCAGAGATAACCACCTGATAAGAAGACCAAGATAAACAATATCCAGGCAAGCCTTTAACCAGTTCTGGGCACATTGCAATGCGAGAGCCTCTGCTCTACATGTCTTGTGGACTTCTGCTTACAAAGCTGAGAAAATAATAGATCATACCTTCAAGTGTTGGTTTTGAGGGCAGTGGTGGATGATGAGTTAAGTTTTGGACAAGTTAAATAAATCAAAGTGCAGATAGTCAGCATGCAATTAGAAATCTGCATTTTGGGAGAAAGCAGTCGTAGGAAAGAGGAATTTAAAGATTATTGACTACTAGGCACTGGCAAAAGCCATGAGTGTGCTTAAAATAACACAGGATATAAATGAGGCAGATCTGCGAAAGAATCCAGGATAAAGTTTAAAGAGCCAGAGTGAGATGGGAATCCAAGAAAGAACAGTGATAATAACCATATGGAGAAGCTAAAGGAAAGACAGATAATTTTATTTTATCACAGAAGAGAGATGAAAGATGAGTGATTAATATTAAATGCTCCACAGGAAATCAGTAGTGAAAAGCAACAACAACTATTGAAATGGGAAAATAAGATATCTTTGGTAACACAGGGGAGAACAAGACAAGAGGAATGGTAGGCAACGTGTTAAACAATAAAGAAATAGGAGCTTAGGGCACTTTTCAGGCCCCTCTTTTAATCACTTGCACTGCTAGGAAAAGGGAAAGCTGCCGCACGGGCCACAGGTCACTTAGGAGAGAGTGGCGGTTTTTATGATTAGATCCTTTGTCCATTTCCTTGTTTTATTTCATTGTTTAAATGGAAAGGCATGAACAAGGCAAGCAGAAGAAGAATAGATGTTAAAAAATGTCAATAATATTGAAGAGAAGACAATTGATAGAATAAGAATAAAATAAGCAGGAAGGTATAGGTCCTAGACCAGAAAATGGAGACGTCACCCTCCTCCGGGACAACCAAAAGCAGGATCGCTTTGGAAGCTTAAAAGACAGGTAACGTACAACACAGACAATTTTCTAGGCCAAAAAGGTAAAATATTGATAGTTCGCACCTCATTAAATCTACTAATTTGTGAAGTAGGGGGCAAGACTGTTATGGGAGAAGGGTCTGTGATGTGAGGGCTCTGAGAATAAAGGAGGGTTATCATCAAAGGGCCTAGGATTGACTGTATAAAACTGAGAGCTCATGAGTTTTCCGATCATGGTCATGTAATATTTTTAAAAATTACATTCAGAAGTAAGATTGTAAAAGGCAGAAGTTTTGGTTTAAACAATATTTAGGTTGAGGGAATCGGAGTGGCAGAAAACCAAAAAGTAAAGTGGTTCATTTTGGGGCAAGAGTTTAATATAAGTAATAAATGTAATGATATTATTATCAGGAAGATTTATTTTAGACTAAACATAAAAAAAGTTCTGAAAATTATAAATTCTTGGGTAAATATTCAAAATTGTCATAGTATATAATATGTTAGTATCTATAGTAGTTTATACTAATGAATGCATAACTAAAAATATCAATTTACATAAGAATCCTTCTGAGCCTAAAATTGCAAACTCAAGTAAAGTCTAGTTTAAAATAATTCCCCATGAATCACATTCAGTTCAAATTTTATATTATTAAAGAATGCACAGTACATTTATTTTCAGGAAAGGTGTGCAAAATAAGTAAAAGCATAATTTCTAAGACAATCCTCTCAGAAACTACCATAACAAATCAGGCTGCATTGCCAAACTAGACACACAATTAGACATTGGGCATAGAAATTTCAATGTGTGAGCAAAGCAGAGAGGAGACTGGGATTGCCATTGCAACTATATCATTTTGCTACATAAGAAAAGTGTTCTGGTCCAGAGTAGCATATGAAATCTATAAATTATATTTGGAGCAACATTAATTACACCAAACAAAACAAACAACCAAACAAAAGAAAAGAGTAGCTATTTCAGCCATGAGACATTTCCATTTTGTATTCTGATATTTGTGTAGCATACAGGAAGCCATATTTGTAAATCTATATATTCTAAGTATGTTTGTTAAGCAATTCAGAAGGGTCCATCCTGATAAGAGCATTCCATAGATAAGGGTGTTTCTATGTACCTTAGTATGTTTCCAATAGGTTTCTCACAGACTGTTTACCAGGAGATTTGACCAGGCCCTGTTCATTGCTTCTTTTCTGCAGACATTGCCTAGCGAAGGGAGACAATCACCTGCAGGCCTACTGCTAACCAGTTTATTCCAGAACCTTACTGCTATATTTGACAATTTGTGATCTTCCAATGTTCATTAAAATATCCAGCTTCTCATGGTGGGAATTACCAAATTCAAAGACATCAGTATTTTATCTGTGCCTCATTACTAAATAATGATATAAAGTAGCTTTTGGCTGTTTTCTGTGTATTTGCAACTCTAACATGAATACAGTTAGGCTCCTTAGGTAAATAAAGTTTTAGATAATGTCGAGATGTAATTTGCCGCTAGTTGGGTAACTTTTACCTCTTGGATTGCTCTGAAAATGGCTTGATTTAGAGAAGCTGGCTACTTTGCTTTATGTTTTCTAGCCTACAAACATATTTTGTTTGTACCTATGTAAGTGTATGTTCATGCTGTGTAAGCTTTCTCCCCTGCAG